TATTTAAAACCATTTTAATAATCATAATTTATTAATTAGGAGAGTAGGTTTGAGTTAGGTTATGTTAGCCTAAGTAGAGCTCGAACTAAACCTAGTCTAGCCTATTTAAGGTTCATGTCGGTCTCCTAACATTAGTGAGACTGATCTGAATTCATCCCCATGGATCAACCCAATTTAAACCCAATATTTGGTTAGTCAACTTAGGGGTTACATTAGTTAGCCACAAAATCAATAGGATTAGCTAAGCCTAAACCTTAGGTTAGTAAACCAATATGATTAGTTAACCTGAACATTTGGTTAATTAACCCTGAACCTCATGTTAGTTAATCTTAAATCAATAGGATTGGTTAAGCTAAACCTTAGGTTAGTTAAACCTAAACCAATATAATTAGTTAACCTAAACATTATGTTAGTTAACCCTAAACTAATAGGATTAGTTAACCCAAATCTTAGGTTAGTCAATCCTAAACCAATATGATTAGTTAACCTAAACATTAGGCTAGTCAACCCTAAACCAATAAGATTAATTGACCTAAACCTTAGGTTAGTTAACCATAAACCAATAGGATTAGTTAACATAAACCTTAGGTTAGTTAACTTTAATCCATAAGATTAGACAAGCCTAAACTTTAGGTTAGTTAACCATAAACCGATATGATTAATTAACCTAAACTTTAGGTTAGTTAACCCTAATCCATGAGATTATTTAACTTAAACCTTAGGTTAGTTAACCTCAAATCAATATGATTAGTTAATATAAATCTTAGATTAGTTAATCCCAAACTAATAGAATTAATTAATCTTAACCTTAGGTTAGTTAACCTTAAACCAATAGGATTAGTTAACCAAAACTTTAGGCTAGTTAACCCTAATTCAACCCTAATATTTAAGTAAAACAAACCTGAATTATAGCTTAGTCTTAAGCTAAACCTACCCTAAACCTTAGAACCTTACCCATAAGTTAAACATATGAGAACCTTTTAGGTATAACCTTAAACCTAAGTTAAACATAAACCTCTTAACTTGAACATCAATTAAGAAATAAAATAAAGCACATTGGGAGGGTTAAAATTTACATAAAAGATATTAAAACTTAAACTTAAACAAAACCAAATGCAACAAGGCTTTAAAGCATGGATTTGATGTTAAATCAGGTTCGAAGTCGTCAACTTCACATAAGTAATAACAAGTGAACAAAAATAACTAAAATAAAACACTTAAAATCCGACAACAAAATGTAAACAACCTAAAACATTTCAACCTTAGAATCGATAAAGTAACTCAAAGATAAATTAAATCATAATCACAAAGATCACATAACACAACTTAAACCCCTTTTTGTTCTAGTTCACGGAGATTCCTTAGACGATGCATTCTGTAGATGTTGACAAGAATCTTTCAGTCCTGGTGCGAACCACCTTTTGGACTAAGTAAATTAGTGCATCGGACAACCTGGGACGACGGAGCCATCTTTTGGACTAAGTAAATTAGTGCATCGGACAACCTGGGACGACGGAGCCATAGACATCTTGGCCGGGTTACCACTAATTAAATAATTAAAATTTATAAAAATTTGATAAAACATTGTTTCTTTTGTTCTGTTTATTGCTTTATGTATCTCAATACATGTTATTTTACTGTTTTTATTAAACATAAAATGCATGTGTTAAGGACAAATAATGAAAGAATAAAAGTTGTTTAGATTAAAGAAAACCTAAAAATCATAACATTAGAGAATTACTTAGCTTAAGTGAACTTGGCTTTGGCCTAGGTTTGAACTATACCTCACTAGGTTTGAACTATACCTACTTGGCTTTGGCCTAGGTTTGAACTATACCTCAACTACCCTTTAATTAATTCACTATAAAATTATCAAAACAAATAAAACTTTTAATAATAAGATTTGAGGATCTGAAGGCTTGAAGACCTGAAAACATTTCAGTATGGAACTTGGAGCAAACTTCTTGGGCAGCTCGTTCAAGACCATTTCTTTAGCTTAATAACAATCCTTAGGATTTCAAGACTATCTTTTATGACATAAAACCTCTCTTTTTTTAGGCTCCTGCATAGTCTTGATATGCAACATGTCCTAACTTGTTTTAGGATTTTAAGGTAGTCACTCGACGTAAAATCTCCTATATTTCTATAATTCTTTGTGTAAATCATCATTACACAAATCTAAGCCCTAATTAATAAAATTGACAAGAGTTAAATTAATATCGTCCTAAATCGAGCTAAACATTAGGATAGTTTGGGGGAGATAGTTTGACCTATTTTGGATCTTTAATCTCCTCTACTTTTCTTTCTTTGATTCTTAAAATAAAATCTTTCACCTTTTCTTAAAATAAAACCTTTGATTCTTCAAATAAAATCTTTCACCTTTGAACAAATCCCTATTGGAAATTTCACAATCATGTTCGTTGAAAACCCTTCCTTTTGAATTCATGAAAATAAAAGATTTCTGATTTTTATCGAAACTTTTCTTAGGTGACATGTTCGCTTAAGATGTAATTAACTATAGGGGATTGCTTTTATAGGGAACTTAAAAGAACCCAGACTTAAAATAAACACTATTTGACTTCCATATCGAATAGGGGAATCTGTCGGTCATCATGCAAACTTGCAGATCAAACGGAAGCCATTTATTTCTATAGTTTATTTAATGAAGCTTATTATCAAGTAGTGTATTATCTTTCAGGGTGGTACATTACTCGTGGTTAGCTCGATTATCCAAACTGTAGGAATCAATGAGATCAGTTTGACCCCATTTTCTTCAAATTAAAATACTTAATTTCTAAACACTGTATTACGCTAAATTAAACCGCACCCAACCGTATGGCGACCGACATATTCTGTGTTTGATCTGCAAGAAGGATACCATCAGTGAAATGCATGCACCGATGTACATCCTTCTATAAATGTCCAATAGGAGCATTTATAACTAAAGCAAAAATATATGAGCTTAAAGCCGATCTCTGATGAATCCAACTGAAATAGAAAAAATATTTGGTCAATCCTCCTTCTGTTTGAACACAAGTAACAGCTCTAACATACATATCTTTAATGACTTGTATATAATTCATATCAACACCTTTCTTATCTAGAACTCTCCAAAGGATATCTCTCGGAACCTTATCGTAAGATTTCTCATAATCTGTTGGATTTTTGTCGGACATGTATACTATGGAAGTTATACATTTATTGAGGCTTGATGGAAGCTATACATTTATCGAGAGCCTCTCTAAAGGATATCTCTTTTGTGCATGATCAAACCACAAGAGTATATTTTTCACCATCATATATTCATATTGTGCTACTCCCACCATATCTCTAATATAATAAATTTTCAATCTATATTATTTGTTTTTTCACAATTTCATCTTAGCATTCTCAATTTGCCTTACTAGACACAATAACATTACTGGGATTTTAAAATCTTTGGTTACTTAACTAAGATTTTACTTGTACTCATTGCACCCTCATATATGACCTTATTAATTTTAGTATACCGTCGAAAGTGGTTTCTTCTCAATCCGTTATTGTTTAGTTCTTTGTTACTCGATCATATAATCATATGGTTAGCAAAAATCATATTTTGATAATTTATTTTCTAATAGTATTTTCTCATTGATAGTGAGATAAGTGGTTTTCCAACTGAAAAAAAAAGTGGGTTTCCAACAAGCCATAAACCTAAACCAACCAACAAAATCTGGCACAAGGAACAAGGTAGCTTCGAGGCTAGCAGATTGGGCCTGAGAGTCGGTTCATAGCTTCATTCAGCCCACTTTAGGCTATAATATCATTTAAACTTTGTTTTTTTATTTCTTTTCTTGAAAATTATAGGCTTATGAATATTTTATTCCTTGAATTTAGGAAAGTTGATTTTAAACTTTTTGTATTTTGAGGGGATATTCTCTCCTAGTTCTTTGTTACTCGATCATATAATCATATGGTTAGCAAAAATCATATTTTGATAATTTATTTTCTAATAGTATTTTCTCATTGATAGTGAGATAAGTGGTTTTCCAACTGAAAAAAAAAGTGGGTTTCCAACAAGCCATAAACCTAAACCAACCAACAAAATCTGGCACAAGGAACAAGGTAGCTTCGAGGCTAGCAGATTGGGCCTGAGAGTCGGTTCATAGCTTCATTCAGCCCACTTTAGGCTATAATATCATTTAAACTTTGTTTTTTTATTTCTTTTCTTGAATATTATAGGCTTATGAATATTTTATTCCTTGAATTTAGGAAAGTTGATTTTAAACTTTTTGTATTTTGCGGGGATATTCTCTCCTCTATTTTTTGAATCAGTTAGAATTTTAGATAAATTAGGGTTATTTGATGCAATGAAAATAATATTTCAAATGCGGGCATTCACTTTATTTCTTTCTATCTCTCACTCCCCATTTGACGTGTTTAACGGAATCTGGAAGCTAGCAGGCTTCACTACGTCTCCCTCAGTTTTCTTCATAAAATAGAATGCCGGGCTAAGGAAAATTGCCAATCAGCCTAAATTCGGATGATCTTAGTTGAAAACAGTGAATTTATTGTCCGGACAAGAAGCTGTTATTGTCGAAGAGAAATACAATAGAGTGAAGAAGAAGAGAAGAAATAATCCATGAGGTTGTCTATTATTCCCTCATACACTTGTTTCCTAGACTATAGGTTCATTTAACGAATCCTTGGTTGATTCCTTTGGATCAGATAATATTACTTTTTGGTGAAGTTGTTGACCTAAAACCAATTTTATTATTGATTCACTATATTTATCACAATTATTCTTGTACTCCTAATTCTCAAATATTGATTAACAAGTAATCATTAGTATTTAGTTATATGAATAAATCTTGAAGTAACTAGTATGATCACATTTAGAGAGAAGCGGCTGAAATTTTCATTTAGGTGAAAGCTAATTGTTAAACTAACCTCATTCTTTGTTTTGGCCTTTTGCATTATATTTATGTTCTCCTAACTTCAGAATTATTTATAATGCAATGCAGGCTACTATGGAGTTTTTCAAGAAGTTTACAGAATCTATCAGCAGTGAGCTTCAGTTTGTCATTGATGAAATATCTAGTGAAGACACATCATCTGCTGGAGTTACCTGGCATCTCGGTATGTTATGCTGTCAATTATTTTCCTTCCATTTTTATATGGTTAACGTATTTCAATCATGGATTAGTTAGTGCCAAAACAGTTCCCTAACTGTTTACATGGGCCTATTTTAGTTCCAGGGCTTATAAAAGTGTTAAATTAGTCCTCTAACTCTTTAAATTGGGGCTGAAATAGTTTTTTATACATATTATTTTAACCCATTTTAAAGGAGTCTGGGACTAATTTGAGACTTGTATTAACCTTGGGACTAAAGTTATCCCGTTTTAATAGTTGGGGGACTATTTTGACACTTTTCTCATCATTAATTTCTGAACTAAAAATAGTCACTACTACAGAATGGAGGGGAAGGCCGTTTCCATTCAGCAAGGGATGCAGCTTCTATCGTTTGGAGCAATCAGAAGGCACCCGAAAGATTATGTATGCTTTCTTGTCCACAAAATTTAGTATAGCTTCAAAATCAAGTTGCAAATACCGTTTCTACTTCTATCTGTTACTGCAATAAACATATATGAATGTGCTTAAAATTGACATGGGGGATAATTAGTTGTTTGATTAACGAAAAATTGATTATTTTTAGAAGCTATTTTTTTAGAATTTATTTCTATTTATTTTATTACCTTTTCAGCTAATCTTTTTATATGTATTTCCTAGTTTATGCATTTCATTTTTATCTTTTAGGTGCTATTAGGAAATATTTGGGTATCATATCTTTCCTTTTCTATATCCCTTATAACATATATTTATACATTTTTTACTGCTCAATAATATCCTACACAATTCCCAAAATTCTACATTGTATCAGAGCCAAAGATCTAACCTTAGCTGCCACCGGAACATCTCCCTAGCCGTCGGCTCTTCCTACAAGATTGCCTGCAGATTATTTCGACTGCCATCTCTTCTCCCTTCAGTGGGATTCCCTGTAGTTTGGTCTACCAGATCTACTGTTTATTTCCTGCAACTTATTTTTTACAGTTCATTTCTACTGCCCCGCTCCGTTTCCCATCAGGCAAGACTTAAAAAAAGCTGTTGATTTCAGCTGGCCCTTCTCATGTCAGCGGGATTTCCTGCAGTTGGTTCTGCTAGTTCTGTTGATTATTTCTGCCGCGCTGCCTAGATCTCAACCAATTTCCTGGAATTTCCCTTAAGGTTATGCTAGTGCTCCTTCCTGTTGTTCTTTCTAGGAATCCTAGCCGACGAGCCTCCCTCCACTGCCATCTACATCTTCGACCATATCTCCAGCCAGGACTACTGACTACAACGCCACTGGCAACCTGATCCTTCCCTAGAGGATTTTTCGTCGTCAGCTCTTTCTCCTGCAGCTGGTTCCCACTCGGAACATCCCAGAATCACCAGGCTCCATTAAGAGTCGGATGGAGCACTTGATCAAACTTCTTGGATCTAGTCAGTTCTCTTTTGGCCCGTTGACCTCCCATATTCGTCAATGTAACATTCTGATGACACTCACTATTTTTGCTTCGTCTAGTTCATGGATTTTATTGATTCAGGGCCACAGACTATGTGACTAGATGTTCTCAAGCCTTCTCGACATATTCTCTGTGCTTTGGGAGAGATACCATTAAAATTGCTGACAGCTCCAATAATTTCATTGCAAGTAAATGGTCTTTTGTTCTTACAACAGACTTGACTTTAGAATTTGTGTTACATGTACCTTCGTTAAAGTGTAACCTCTTATCAATCAGTATGTTGACATATGACATTGATTGTGTTGCTCATTTTTCTCTTGATGTTTATGTCTTTCAGGATTGTTGTTCGGGAAGGATGGTTATAACTGCTAACCAGGTGGTCGGGCTTTACTTTTTCCGAGGGAAAAACAGTTTTGACGAGGTCATTCCATCCAGTAGTAGTAGTCATTCTCAATTCACTGAATGTCCTATTATGATTTTACATTGTCGTTTGGGTTATCCCAATTTTTATTATTTAAAACAATTGTATCTTTAATATTTACTAATAATGTGAGATTTATCAGTTAGCTAAACATTATCCAGTACCATATCCACCGCAGTCTTACACTCCAGCTTCTTTTTCACTGATTCATAGTAATGCTTGGGGACCCTCTCAAATGCTTAGTTACTCCAATAAACAATTGTTATTTACCTTGATTGATGATCACACTCGAATGATGTGGGTCTATATCTTAAAAGACTAATACGAATCTGCTGTCACCTTAAAAAATTTTCATTCCTTCATTTGACCCAATTCAAAACTTCAATTCAAGTTCTTTGGACTGACAACAATCGTGGATTTCTTACCTCTATATTAGAGAATTTTTTTGGTAAGGGTATCCTCCAACACAATTTCTGTACGGATACTCAACAAAATAGGATAGTAGAACAAAAAAAACTGACGGCTTCTCGAAGTTGCATGTTTCATTATGTTTCAATCGAATGTCCCAAAATGGTTTTGGAATGATGTCACACTTATCGTCACATATCTCATCAATAGAGTCCCCCAAAAAATTGACAAATTCTGGACCCCATTAGCAGTCTTGAGGTCCTGCTTTTCTACCAATTGGTTCTTCTCCACTTTACACTCCAAAATATTTGGGCGCATGACATTTGTTTGAAACGCCACCCCAACTTGTTGTAAACTTGATCTCTGTTCAATCAAGTGTCTTCCTTATATATTCTGCCACTTAAAAGAGCTATTGGTGCCTCGATTCGAGTACAAATAAACTCTATGTGAGTGTCGATTTCTATTTCTTTAAAAGTATTCCCTACTTCCCCAATAATGCCTCAAGTGAGGGGGAGCTAGATTTTTGGGACTGTACTCCTTTCTAGACTTTGTTGAATATGCCTCCTACTCCTCCAACCACTGTTCTTGAGAAATTATCTATCCCACTGGATCCACCATCCATCAGACCAATATCTCCTCCACCCACTTTTCGTGTCTATACTCGGCGCATTGAACCCTCGGTTGAGGCTCGTCCCAATAATTCTACTCCTGAGCCTGCTACCTCTTTGCAGGACTTAGAATCTGCACCCGCCGACATCCCCGACACTACACTTGGAGAGATTACTTCTGCTCGGAATGAGGAAGTGAGTTGTATCATTGATGTACGCAATCAGGCTTGCTCTCTTTATTCCATGACAAAATATGTCTCATTTCACAGCTTGTCACCCACCTACAAAGCATTTGACTTCCTTGACTTATCATCGTCATCCATCCACTATTGATGTAGCATTGGCGGACCCTTCCTGGAATGTTGCAGTAATGGATGAGATGAATGCTCTTCGACGAAATCATACATGGGATGTTGTTGATTTTCCTCGAGGAAAAAAGCAGTTGGTTGCCGGTGAATTTTTAGTATGAAATTTAACTATGATGGAAGCTTTGAACGAAACAAAACACGATTGATCTTTAAAGGCTACTCACAAATTTACAGCGTTAACTGCGAGACGTTTGCTCAGATTTGCTAACCTGAACACTATTTAAGTTCTGTTATCACTTGCTGTGAATTTGGATTGGTTCTTTCTCCAACTGGATGCCAAGAATGTCTTCCTTAACGACAATCTCACAGAGGAGGTGTACATATCTCTACCTATAGGCTTTGACTCTACTTCCAGGGGACAAGTGTGTCGATCGTGGAAGTCCCCCTATGGACTGAAGCAATTTCCTCGGCCGTGGTTCGACAAGCTCACACAGGTGGTAGTGGGCCATGGGCTCTCTCAGACCCAATCAAATCACATAATCTTTTTTCGGCATTC